GGGGGGGGGGGTTCACCCTGTAAATTGGTAATTGGTAAATCATTTAATAAGTGAAATTGTTATAAGTCAGCTGGAATTTTCTTGCCTCTCTTCAATATGCCATTGCAAGTTTGAGTTTCCTGTTCAGTTTGTAGCTCCTGGCATTTTATTGGAAAAGACCCTCTGGAGGCTGATGCTTGCAGCTGGTTTAAGTTGTGGATGAGAAATGTATACTGCATTTCTCCCATTATTTAAGGAAATTCTACATGTGAATAACCCCCCTAAGGCCTTAACTCATTTTCCTCACCTCCAGTATCATGCCATACACATTGATTGGAATGCATCTGTATTTGTTTATGAATGGTGCTATGAAATGTAAACCTGTGAATTGTACACGATTGCCGGGTGCTGTTAATCAGCTGTATAAAATGACATTAAGTGGATTCGATGGTGCTAATCACAATGAAGCCATATTTACTTTTAACCATTGACTGATGTATATCTCAATATTTCCAATAGTGTAACATAAAAAATAAAAATCCTTAAAAAGAGTAGATAATTGAGGAGGATTAATATTAAGATTTATTATTGTTATTATTATTATTATTAACTGTAGGTGGTTTTCTATGCCTGTGGTCATATCATACTTGTTGTCATATGTAACTTTTGTTATATATATCAGCAAATAATATTGATGGAGAAATTTTGCAGCTTTTATATATTCACTGTAATGTAATCACTAAGCATTTCTTTGAACAAGAAGCAGCTACAGTGATACAAGTGACTAGTTTTCCACGCAGCTTAGAATTGTGTTCTCATTCAGAAAAACGGACTTGAACAAACTACATATATCAGCTTATAGCATATTCAGGAGAATCTCAGAGATTGTTTCCTTTGCACTCACCAGTGATGTTTTATTTTAATTTCTAGAATTGTATCCCATTGTTGGGTTTCATTTATGAGTTGTTTCACCACCCCTTGGTGTGTTTCAAACATCTACATTGGCCTTTTGTCATAAAAATACAACCAGTGACCCTCATTCAAATTCTGAACAATCACTTTTGACAGGAAGTTTTATGTCATCTAGAATTAAGTTTTGATTTTAGTTCTCAGTTATAATATTTAACGTCCCATTGTTGTCAGTTAGTGTCAGACCCATGTCCAAGCATGTCATGTGACATGTTTACTTTAAATGATCATTACTTTTTTAAATGACAATTTCCAGTTTTATCCAGGTTGCACAACATATACTTGTCCATTCAATTTAGGCCTCACATAATTTTTGCAAACTGAATATAGATAAGATTAAAATGTATTTAATAAGTCCATTTATAAAGTGTGTTTACTAGTCCGTATTGAATTCAGATATGCAATTTATAGAGAACATTCTTTCCTCTTGCCTCTTGAAGCTCAAACGCCATTATTATATCAATAATCTGGTAGCTGTTTGATACAAAATTGAAGAGAAATATTGTAGCATCATTTGTTTTTCTAGCATTTAGTTAAGAGCTGAAGTAAAAGAGGACTTTTATGATACATGGGGTTATCAGGAGCCTGGAGACAGGAGCAAATGGATGAAGTATTTAATTGGTGAATTGCATGATCAAGTTCCATGATAATTGTTTTTTCTCTGTTTGTATATACTGTAGTCTTCCAAAATTCTGTTTAATGTTATATTTTCACATGGAACTCCTGGGATATAAGCCCATCGTAACCGATACATGAACAGAAACCATAATATATTTTCAATAAACAGTTGCAAAGATACTGGATGTTCATTTTTCATAAATCATCCCTTTCTTATTGCAGAAAAAGCTGGCTGTGTCCCTAACTTCCTTATGAGTGGATGAATTTTGTAGAGTTCATTACTTAAGTATCAATTCAAATTTTATATCAGAAAGGGTCTGCTCGGAAAATAATTCCCATTGAAAGGAGGCAATTACATTGCACAAATATTAATTATACACATAAAACAAAATTTACAGAAATGTTATACTCAATTTTACCTCCTTGTATCACACACTCTGCCTTTCCACATTCAAGAAATTTATTTTCTTTTAAAAAGTAGTTGGTTGTCCTACATCTCAAATCTGCTCATAACCATATAATAGTAATAATAATAATAACTAAAGAAAATGTAACACTCAGTGTTAAAAATGAACATTTAATTTTTTGTAATAATAATCTTTAAAGCAATTTCCAGTCCAGATGATAAACATTTTTAAAGATAAACACATTCATTCACAACAGTAATTATAATTTGAGTTCCCAATCCCTATTTAAAGTTCAGTAATTTAATTATCTACAGGCTAATACCAATAATGTAATACAAAGCATTCAATACAAACCATATAATTCATATATATATATATATATATATATATATATATATATATATATGTGTGTGTGTGTTACAGATTGTTTTTTTATTACACCAGAGACGTCACAATTAATCACTCATAAACCGTAATAAGGATACAACTAGACTCATTTTAGTCTGAATCTTAATCAACTCAATGTCTTTATTAAACTGAAGATAATGCATGTTATAAGGTTTCAGTAGCAAAGTCTATCAAGAGCTAAAGTTCCAGTTCAATCTTGCTCTACATCCCTTGAGGTTTGAGCTGCTTTTTCTGTGAAAGGTTGATTTTATCTCCTAAACTCAATGCCATACCCTGCAAATGAAAACAAATCGGTGCATATGATTTTTTTTAAACAAAATGTGTAACTAAGATATAAATTCATATATATCCAGTAAGGTAACTGGCTGGAACTTTTACTTAAAACACTTGATTTTCAACAAACGAAATGCCTT